GCTCAAGATCCTGCACCGTGGCTGGTGGGATCTGCCCCGTTTATTCTAAAACATCATTTTGAGAAAAGCAAACGTTGCTCTGGGAGTCTGGGTGCCCTCTTGCAGAGGACGGCTGGACAGGAACACGGAAATCTGCCAGAAATCTGGGCAATTTCTTGTCCCTGCCTGAAATGGGGCCGCCTTGGCCACGTTTCTGAGCCACGAGGAAAGGCCTGCACGCCTGGTCGTGTGCCGCAATGCACGCGCGGATTTTATTGTATAAATTATTTCAACTAGCATAATTGTAATCATGTTAATTGCTGTGTAATCTTCACTAATTATTGTTGTATGTCATTTGCTGTGGCGTATTGCAGAGCTGGGCTCGGCTCGCGGGCGCTGCCGGGGCCCCGCGTGGCCCCTGTTTCTGGCTCCGTCTGGGCACGGTGGCCTGGGAGCTGCGGGATGGCACGGAGGCGGCGTGGCGCATCCCGCATCCCACCCGCACCTTGCTCTCTTTGTGTGTTTTTTTCCTCTCCTCCTTCGTAGTTGTTAGGCAGATTCAAATCCTGGTTTCACTCAAAATTCAAATCCTGGGAGCTTTTCCATTCCAGCGCAGGGCAGTCCCTGGGAACTGCCAGCCGGAGCCGTGCAGGCAAGACCAGCGCTCTGCTGCTGTGCTGGCCCTTTTGGACCTTCGGATAGGATGGGCTCCTCGAGCTGACGTGTGCGGTCCCAGGTCCTGGAGGCCTTTCCGAGTGGCTCCCGCTCCCCTCAGTTGTTCGCTAATGGGCAGGTTTTACATATTGCTGCAATCCGTCAGGATTTGAGGTACGCGTTGGCTCGGCAGAGCTAAGGCAGGTTGTGCTGAGCACTGTCTGCTGTGGATTTAACCCCCTCAGTTTGCTCAGGGTTTTTGAGATAAAAAAATGAGTGTTGCTGGCACAGCAGCCAGAGTTTAATCAGAGATTGCCATGCAAACACAGGCTTCTCAGTGCTCACCTCGCCCGTCCTCCGTGACATTGCTGTTGCTGGAAATGGTGCAACTGGAGCTAACGTGGATATTTGTTTTTTAGGTTGAGCAGAGATGTCAAGGAACCAGAAACGGCCCGTCCAGCTTCATCGCTCAGCGTGGGGAGCGTCGATGCCGCGGGAGCTGTGAAGGCTGCAAGTCCTTTGCTCGGTGCTAGAAGACGGGAGTATGGAAAAGCTCCGGAAGACAAGGAGGAGCTGGAGAGCCAGCAAAGAGCGTGGGAGAGCCGAGGAGCGACTTCTCCCTCGCCGGGGAGAGGACGGAGCCCTCCCGCCCCGGAGGGCAGGTTTCCCAGCCCGCTGTCCCCAGCGGTGACGAGAAGGCAGCTGCCCTCGGTGGCCGAAGAGAAGCTGCCCAGCTCTTCGCTCGCGCTCTCCGAGTACGTGGAGGAGCTGAGGAGGAAAAGGGCAGCAGAAAACGAGCCGGGAGCGCTAGCACTCGGTGACGCTTCTCCCCTGCCAATCTACCAAACGACTGGTGCTTCCACCCTGCGGCGCTGCAGGACCTTCCGAGAGGCCGGTGACGTCCCAGGGAGGGGGGAAGCGAGCGAGCCGAGGGAGAGCGGCGGAGCCCCTGGAAGCCCCGTCCCCATCCGTTCCTCCATCCTCAAGGGCACAGCCTCGGAGAAGACGGAGCCCGCGCGCTCCCCGGTGCTAAAACGTGTCTCCAAGTTTGGCTCCTGCGACTCGCTGCTGCAGAACATGGACAACTCGAGCTCCGCAGAGGCGCTCGGCACCTGGAGACTCAAGTCATGGAGAAGTTGCCTCGAGCCGTCGCTGGAGGAGGGAGGAGACCTCGACGTGGGGAAGGATCCTCTGGTGTTTCAGAGCAGGCGATTCGGTGCCGACGCGGGCGAGGGGAAGGAGAGCGACCCGTTCACCTGGAAGATACCGAGCCTCAACTACGAGCGGAGAACCAAGGTGGATTTTGACGACTTCCTGCCGGCGATTCGGAAGTCGCGCTCCACCAGCAGCCTGGCCAAGCCCGGCAGGGCCAGGGCAGAGGCCGCTGACGGTTCGGTTTGAATATGAGGCCGCCGCAGACACCCCTGGGATCAAGACCCCGTCGAGGCAGCGCCCGGGCGCCCAGGAGGACTCCGGAAACCTCTCGGACGCCTCCTCGTCCTCCGGCTCGGCCCGGTCCTTCCGGAGCGCCGACAGCATCAAGCGCCGGCCCCCGAGAGCCGACGGGGAAGGGTGCAGCAGCGCGGCCGCGGAGAGCCCCCGCGAGCCGCGCAGAGCCGAGGCCGAAGGCAAGGAGGATGATGTAAATAGTATCATGAAGAAATACCTGGGGAAGGACTAAGGTAAGAGTTCCCTAAGAGCAGATCTGCCCCGGAGGGACCGTGCAAGACCCTGCCTGGCCTCCCCGCTAGCGGCATCCACCAGAGCCGGTCCCAGGGCCGTCCCCGTGCCGGGCTCGTTCGGCAGCGGCGCAAGGTCGCCTGTTCCGACAAGGCAGGGCCTGGCCGCAGGCACGCGGATAGCAACCGCCTCTGACAACTGCTCGGATCCGGCTTGCATATTACAACCGACACTTGGAGAATTAGGATTTATTAGTTCAATCCAGGTTTGAAAGCAAAGGCCCTAATGAATGCGCCGCAACTGTAATTAAGTGTTTAAAATAGATTAGAAAAACGTTTTGTACAACCATTGCCTTTAGAGTAACTTGCTGGATGTCAAGCTGTGACCAAATTGACTAAGCCAATGCAAGAAAGGAGCACGTGTAAATAAAACATTTCTTTCTGGGAAGGAAAATTTGCATAATGAAATGTCCCACTTTTGCCAGGCTTTGTTTCAGTAAATGGTAGTAGCCTTCTCCGTGCTCTGGGGAAGCTCGCGAATGTCTTTGCTGTTCTTTAGGCAGAGCATCGAATAGGGGACGTGCAGTTTAAGCAGAGATTGGAAGTGAATCCCCCAAAGTCATGAGTGGTTTTGCAAGCGATGAGACCCTTATGTTTTCAGACACCCTGCACTTATGGTCGCTTGGCTTCAGGAACTGGTTTTTATAAAAGTCAAGCTGGTATCTTGGGTCCTGCTGGCCAGAGGAAGGACACACTGCAGGGAGCTGGAGGAGCACCAAAGCTCCTTGCTTTAACCCCAAAACCTGGAGCCCGAGCTGCAGCCCTTGCATGCTGAGGACTCTCTCTGCTTATACATTTTCCTTCTATTTTTTATTTCCAGAAGCTGAGACCCTACCTGAAGCTTTTATAATTTCACAGCCTCTTGAAGACAGATGCGCCCGTGGTTTTGACGGGCTCCAGACACCCTGGGACACGTCGGAGTGGCGTGGCAGACGCCGGTGCGGTGCCTGCTGATGCTGACTGCAGATGTCTGCTTGGTTTTTACAAAATAAAATATTTGCTTCTTTGACTTGAGCCTCTGCTCATCCTTCCACCCCGTGGTGTGGGAGGGCCGTTGAAGCCGGAGGGCTGGAAGCCGCGATGCGCCGGGCGCTTTTCCACACGGACACACGCGGTCCCGGAGCTGTGCCATTGCCAAGCACCTGCTGCTCCTGCCTCCCCCCTTTTTATCAGTCTTGTCAAGGTATTTCCCTAGCTAGAAAACGTGTGGCCCTTGCGCAGTCTCCTTGGCCCTGCCAGGGCATGCTCATGGCATCGGCAGTTTCAAAAGGCAAATGGGGCAAGTTTCGGCATTTTTGTTTTGCTTTTTGGATTTTTCACGCTCGTTCCTAATTTAAACCAAACCTTTGCAGTAAGAAGCGTTTTCCTTGTCACAGATGAATGCCAGCCCGTCATATCTGGGTGCACATCAGCAGTTTCCGTAGGCTTTTGTACCGTGCCAGCAGTTTCTCCCAGCTAGCTGGGAGGCAGACGGCATCGGAAGCAGCGGCCCAGCCCCAGCGCCAGGGTCGCTCTTGAGTGGGATGCGCGTTATGGAAGAGGACAGCGAGTGCAGAAGAATAGCTCCAATTAGTCTAAAAAGGGGCTTTCTAATGACCCTGCTATTTCCAGAAGCAGAATGAAGGCATTTGGTAGGTGTTTCCAGCCCTGTGCCCGCAGTGCCTTGGCAGCCCTTTCTTCCCTGGGTATGTGAAATCTCGTGCTCTTGGTTCAGCCCCACAAAGAAACTGCAGGTTTGGGATTTTCAACCTTTTTTTCCCTTGAAGCAGACAGACTGGTGCTGCGTAACCCCTGCCCTTCGAGTGGTGAGGAAGGGCTGTTTCTTTTAGTATATTTGAAGAAAAAATCCAGGGATTCCACCATGGCATGAGGAAGAAGCCCCCAGAATACTCCGGAGCTTTTCCTATTGTCAGTGAGCGCTGGTGTGTGCTGTAAAGGCCTGCCATTGCATCCGTGGTGCATTGGGTCCCATCCCTCATATTGGCCCAAAAGTAGCATTTTTTAAGCCGAGGCTCCATGTTGCACAAGAAACATAGCGTGGCCGAGCCCCTGGCACACAGAGAAACCAAATGACACCGGGAGGGGAAGGACCACGGGGGCGACGATGGGTTTTTCCAAGCCCGACCTCCAGCCACTGGCAGGACGAGGAGTCAGCCTGCAGTTCATTTTTAAGCTGAATTTACTACAGACAAATAACAGAGTAATCTCAAAAGGCTACAGAAATTGCTTATTATTTGGTGACTGTAGTAGAGATGATTCCTTTGACACTGAGCTTTTTCTCTGGAATTAATACAGCGTGCTGCGGCGGCCGGTTAGCTCAACATTAAGCTGTTAATATTTAAACTTGCAAAAGACAGGCAGATTTGTGCATAATACGCTGACTTTTTGACTTTTTTTTTTTTTTTTTGCTTTTGCTTTTGCTTTGCAGGACACAGAGGAAATTGCTCTGTCACTTGAAATGGCTCTGTGCAGGCTTTAAGGACAAGCCAGGGAGCATCGCTGCTTGCATGGGCTCGTCTCCAGCAGCGTCTGGAGGATCCTTTGCCCTTGAAACTGGCAGCGAACCGCCTGTTTGCTCTGCATGCATGTGGAGCTGCCCTGTTGCTAACTCACGTCATGAGCGGGGGATGATCTGACTCTGCAGCCGGCAGGCGAGGACGCTCTGCTGAGGGCAATGAGCATCACTACTGCCGTGCACGTGGAGCAGGGAGCTGGGGCCAGCAGTGGGACCGGGGCTGTCAGCGCTGGCACAACTTGCATGGACTACACGGCTTGCATGGATTGCACAGGTTGCATGGATTGCACAGGTTGCATGGATTGCACGGCTTGCATGGATTGCACAACTTGCACGGCTTGCACAGACTGTGCGGCTTGCATGGATTGCACAGTTTGCACGGCTTGCATCCTTGCATGACTGCTAGGCACAGAGAAGCAGCCCCTAACGCACAGCTTAAAAGCTCTCAGCTTCCCAAGGGACTTTTCCCCTTCAATCTAGTGCTGAAAAATCCAGGACTTGCCTTTTGGCTTGGCAGTTCCCTCCGCTAGAGGCATATTCAGAGCACCTGTTTTATTAAAAAAATCCACGAGGGGCCCTGTGGCCGATGGCCAGAACTGGCCAGGTCACAAGTGGCCGCCCTGTGCCACCACAGCACGTGCCTAGGCAAGGTGGGAGCAGGACAGGGCCCTGGCGCAGCTCCGCGTGGCACCAGCCCTGGCGCCGCGGTGAGGGCCGGGAGCCGGAGGCGACGCGCTCGGCTGCCTGGGAGGCAGCAGGATTCCTGCTCGCCGCGCGCTCCCCGTCGCTCGTGCTTCTGCACAGAGCAGGGCTGGCAGATCTAGGGCCATCTGTCAGGCTCGGGCTGGTCCATCCTGCCTGGGCTAAGGCTGCATTTTACCCTTGCTGCAGCCCAGCAGGAGCCAGTGGGGCCCCGCACGAGCTCCTGGTTTGCAGCGTGGGCTGGACGGCTGCGCAGCAAAGCCGAATATCCACCAAGCAGTGTGCAGTGCATATACAGTATACAGAGCCTAATCACTCTCCCTGTATTTTCTGGTTCTCACTGACAGGTTTTTTTTCTGGAACTATGTTAATTTATTATAATTTAATTTCATTTCTTTTATTTTTAAAGCTCAGTCTCGCATAGATTTGCCCATGTGGAGGCAAAGTTTTGCAATACACCTGATTGCGAGGCAGCAGCGCTGCGGGCTGCAGAACCAGCCCCAGGTAGGGCCGCATTTTGCGGGTGGGCAGTGCAGATCTTTGCAAACCATCCACACAGTGTTAACCCCCAGGGACACGGATCCTCCGTGTAAGCCCCTGCTCGCGGCCGGTGCATCGCCTTGCGCTGCCTTTGCACAGAGGCAATATATGGGCTTCACCCGTATCACCCTTGCTCACCCTAATCCCTTGCTGGAGGGCGAGTGTCTCTGCCGGGCTCTGCGTTTTCCAAACCGGGATGTTCCCGCAGGTGCCGTGGAGCTGCCGCGGTGGAGCAGAGTCAGGAGCTTCGCACGGCGCAGTGCAGGGCGCATCGAGGAGAGGGTTTCTCCTGCGCTAGTTACAGTCAGGCTGCTCCTGCGACCTGAGAGAGATGAATTTCTTTGAGTTAAAGCCCTGAAAGAGCAGCTAGACCTTAATTACAGGGAGAGGGCCTCGCGTTGCTGCGGCACGTTGCAGAGCAGCTGGCGAGAGTCGTTTCCAGCACAGGAACCTCTCCGGAGCCACAGGCTGCCGTTATGGGACCCTGCAAAGCACAGGGGTTGCCGAAGGAGAGGAGAAAAGGAGCGAATCCCTCGTGTGAAGTTCATTTGCATTCCCATGGCAAAGTTCCCGCGTTGGCAATACAAATTCAATCCGCTCAGACATCACTTGTGCGAACAATGTAAAACCCAAAACTGGGATAAATTCTTGATGCTGCAAATGGTCCTTGCAAGGAATGTTAATGCTCCTGTCCCCTGGGTGCTGATTCCAAGGCCAGGGCACGATGCTGTGCCCAGGGGTGTGCTGAGGCCAGGCATCAGCGGGCTCAGCAAAGGGCAGCAGAGCACCACACTTAGGCCCTTTTTTTTTTTGCTAATGTGTTAAAATAACTCAAACTTTTGTTATATTTGAGATGGCAATCATAGATTTTGGTGTGCGTGCATTTTAATTGCTTTGCAACAGCATAGCCTTCGCGGAGCGCAGGTGAGCGCGAGGCGGCCGCAGAAGCTGCTCCTGGCACGGCGGGATCCAGCTGGAGTGCACGGTGCTGCTCTCACAACATGTTTTTTTGGAATAATGTTGCCAGTGGCAGACACCTAACAAGTTAAATTATTTATTTGTACGAAGTGTGCTTACAGTTGCAGAAGGGATTTGCTTACCTGGAAGTGTAGCTCGCATTTTAATAAAACTGGAAAAAAAAAGCGCAAAATGTGCTTAAATGGAAGTGCTTAATCTTGGAGCAAT